ACACAAAAAAAATCTATATGCTTCCTATGGGAACTATACGTGATATACAATCTTCAGGGCGAATAATTTACTTCAAAGAAAGAGGTAATCAATGCAATAAACAATAAATATAGATACAAACATGAATGATGCTTTATCAACGCAAACGTAGTTTTCCAGTACACTCCATAGCTACAGCATCACTATATTTCAAGTATATAAATATTGGTAAAGTTGTAAACACAAGAAAATCACACTGGAAAGTAACGAAAATCACGGGTATCCAGCGTGACTTTTTTATACAAATTCAATGAAAGTATAAACTGCATCAGAATAGGGGGAAAAAAAAACATTATCACACAAAAAACTAAACAAAAAAATAATAATAATAATAAAAAAAAAGGAAAAACAGTAACAATAATACTACAGTTCCATTGATGACTGGCAAGAGTTCAAACATCTTCCCATGTTTCCTTTTATATCATGTTTAAGATACTGGTTGCTTTCCGTCAATTCCCCACTAGCATACAAATACTTTTCATGTATATTATCATGTGACATTGTAATGGTTCAAAACTCTAAATTCACAAGACAACATAAAGTACACTAAAATACACAAGATATGCTACAGGGATTTTTGACTGGTACTACAATAATGCAGTAAGAATCACTATACATTAATCACACAAACATCTCACACCATATAAATGGCTTCAAATGTGAAAGCACTCCTAAATAAATATTTTACCCCCAAGATGAAGATCATGAATTAATAAATCAAGAACAATTTACTTCTATGCTTAAATCGCGGAAGATACAATTATGTACAGAAAAGACTTCTTTCTTATTGTTCGTTTAAAAAACATGATTTAAAGTGTATTCATGAGTATTCGCAAGTAAAACAATAAAGGAGAAATACACAGTAACAATCACATTAAAATTTCTATTACTCAACAGGCGATGCATCTCCTATTGGCAACTAAAAGCCAAAACAAGAACTATGACATTCAAATAAATACTCATTTGCATGCATGTTTATTCAAATCTTCAAAAAACACCTGAATGTACAAGATGAAAAGGAATTTTTTAAAAAGCTGACGTCATTAACCAAAAAAAATTGCTCACTGCCACCTAAACTATCCTGTCAATTTACGATCAATATTTAACCGTGTCCACAAAAGATTTCCTGATGTTTTGTACTGAATACTGCATATGGAGAAAAAAGGAAAGAAAAAGAGTGAAAGAAAGAAAGATTGAGTGAGAGAGAGGAAAAAAAAAAAGGCCACATTGTGTTCTCAAAATAACCGTGGAAATACTCAAGACCTTGATATGAGCTGATCAACATTTCGTCATATGAAGTCTATGTACCATCAGGTTAAAACACTCTGCCTTCTTTTACAAATAAAAGTTACATCAAAGAGTTATGTACAAATACAGTAGGCTCTGCATTTACACTGTGACACATCCATTTCCATGTTCTTAAACAGCATACATTCATATACACTATTATCATATATTCATAAACACTATCATTAATACATATTCATATTATATCTCTAAATAAAATCCTTGCCTTCCCTAAATCATTCACTGGTTCCTAGTTCTCAAGAGTGATTACAACTTCTTTTATATAATCTCTCCATTTTTTAATAAATAATATTGAAACAGCTAGGGGCTACAAACATTCCACACTGATAGTGAATTATATGCATTAATCAATCAAAAAAGCAAAGAAAAAGACAGTAAAGCTCATTAACATTAACCAAAACTCTAACAACTTGGAGCAGGCTCATGACACAAGGTGCGTATTCTTGCCACCGGATATTTGGGTTCAGGTCAATATGACAAAAATAAATGTCAACCTTAAAGTAAAATTGATATCATAAGGGCATATTACAGATTAGCATATTTTTTTATAAATACAAAGATATTTAATCCTCTTAATACACAATATATGAATATTAACTTTAGTTAGCAAATTTTCTGAAGTTTTCATGATTTTTTAATATGCCTTTTTTTTTCTTTTTTTTTTGACAGCCAAGAACCCTTAGTAAAAAAATAAATAATCATCTCCTTTCATAGGCTACTTTAGCCTTCCAAACGATAATATCATAAACCTAAAATCCTACTTTCCGTAAACTTGTGAGTCATAAACCACTTATTCTCAATCTCTAAAGCATCTTAAGGGCTGACATTGAATCCTCCTTATGTCAACTGCCTTATGGTTTTCTCTCAGACTCCAGATTCTGCTTAGACGACTATTTACCAACAAAATCTTACTTAACCTAAACGGCCAAACACGCATGCACACTCAGGATACATTCTCGACGGTATTTCTACGCGTGATAGGGAAGTTTTTGCTTGGGATACTTGCTTCTCCATGATGCAGGGTTAGGAAAAAAAAAAGCATAGGAATAATAAAATCTCACCCCTTATTCTCAAAACATAAAAAAAAAAACAAAAAAAAAAAGTTAATAAACTGCAGCTCTCCTACAAAAATGGAAATCTAACATACGAACACCAAGCATGTACCTGGACTGACACAATATGTGACTTCCAATAACTCTACATTTGTGACTGAACCTTGATAACAAGAGCCCACGACACCCATTACTAACAGCGCCTTGTATAAGATGTTTGTTAATGTTTTCTCTTCCGCAAATTAATTCTATGAGAAATATCCCTGTTGCATATCTTCCCTACTGAGATTGCAGGAAAGTTCTTTAGCCAATTGAAAAATGAAATATGAAATAAACAAACTAATTTCACTACTATATCTTAAACAAATAAAATTTTACAAAAGGAGAAAATACACCCAATCATACACGCACTGATTTAATATGAACAGTTTCGTATATGTTTATGTGTGTATGTATACGTGTTTATGTATATGTATGTATATACGTATGTGTCTATACGTATGTATATGTGTGTGTGTGTGTTGCGCACATGCATGTGTGTTGCTTGTATGTGTGTGTGCATGTTTTTTGTATATGTGCACGCGTGTTGTGTGTGAGTGCACATTGTTTTGTATTGGATGTGCATTTCATGTATGTGTGTGTGCATTTCATGTATGTGTGTGTGCATTTCATGTATGTGTGTGTGCATTTCATGTATGTGTGTGTGCATTTCATGTATGTGTGTGTGCATTTCATGTATGTGTGTGTGCATTTCATGTATGTGTGTGTGCATTTCATGTATGTGTGTGTGCATTTCATGTATGTGTGTGTGCATTTCATGTATGTGTGTGTGCATTTCATGTATGTGTGTGTGCATTTCATGTATGTGTGTGTGCATTTCATGTATGTGTGTGTGCATTTCATGTATGTGTGTGTGCATTTCATGTATGTGTGTGTGCATTTCATGTATGTGTGTGTGCATTTCATGTATGTGTGTGTGCATTTCATGTATGTGTGTGTGCATTTCATGTATGTGTGTGTGCATTTCATGTATGTGTGTGTGCATTTCATGTATGTGTGTGTGCATTTCATGTATGTGTGTGTGCATTTCATGTATGTGTGTGTGCATTTCATGTATGTGTGTGTGCATTTCATGTATGTGTGTGTGCATTTCATGTATGTGTGTGTGCATTTCATGTATGTGTGTGTGCATTTCATGTATGTGTGTGTGCATTTCATGTATGTGTGTGTGCATTTCATGTATGTGTGTGTGCATTTCATGTATGTGTGTGTGCATTTCATGTATGTGTGTGTGCATTTCATGTATGTGTGTGTGCATTTCATGTATGTGTGTGTGCATTTCATGTATGTGTGTGTGCATTTCATGTATGTGTGTGTGCATTTCATGTATGTGTGTGTGCATTTCATGTATGTGTGTGTGCATTTCATGTATGTGTGTGTGCATTTCATGTATGTGTGTGTGCATTTCATGTATGTGTGTGTGCATTTCATGTATGTGTGTGTGCATTTCATGTATGTGTGTGTGCATTTCATGTATGTGTGTGTGCATTTCATGTATGTGTGTGTGCATTTCATGTATGTGTGTGTGCATTTCATGTATGTGTGTGTGCATTTCATGTATGTGTGTGTGCATTTCATGTATGTGTGTGTGCATTTCATGTATGTGTGTGTGCATTTCATGTATGTGTGTGTGCATTTCATGTATGTGTGTGTGCATTTCATGTATGTGTGTGTGCATTTCATGTATGTGTGTGTGCATTTCATGTATGTGTGTGTGCATTTCATGTATGTGTGTGTGCATTTCATGTATGTGTGTGTGCATTTCATGTATGTGTGTGTGCATTTCATGTATGTGTGTGTGCATTTCATGTATGTGTGTGTGCATTTCATGTATGTGTGTGTGCATTTCATGTATGTGTGTGTGCATTTCATGTATGTGTGTGTGCATTTCATGTATGTGTGTGTGCATTTCATGTATGTGTGTGTGCATTTCATGTATGTGTGTGTGCATTTCATGTATGTGTGTGTGCATTTCATGTATGTGTGTGTGCATTTCATGTATGTGTGTGTGCATTTCATGTATGTGTGTGTGCATTTCATGTATGTGTGTGTGCATTTCATGTATGTGTGTGTGCATTTCACGTATGTGTGTGTGCATTTCATGTATGTGTGTGTGCATTTCATGTATGTGTGTGTGCGTGTGCTTGTGTGTGTGTTTCGTGTGTGGGTGTGTTTCATGTTTTGCGTGAGTGTGTTTTGTGTGTCTGTGTGTGCATTCCATGTGCATGTGTGTTACGCAGAGGTTCACGCACTTATGCACACACACAAGCATGCATGAGTGCAGGCTCATGCACCCATGCACACACACACACACACACACACACACACACACACACACACACACACACACACACACACACACACACACACACACACACACACACACACACATATCCTCCTCTTCATTTACTAAACCATATCATGAAAACAAGATAAAAAGTTTCAGTGTAATCCTACAAACAAAAGTCAAAACCTAGGATTTTGCCCCAACTTTCCTGTCATCTCAAAAGGGTATTACTATACAATAACATTAACACTCACCATCTGTTGCTGCGTCGACCCCTGCGAGCCGCTCTGGGAGTCTTCGAGCTGGAATGCCTCGAGGGAAAACCTAGACAGGTCACCCCCGCCTCCTCCACCCTGACCTGCACCCCACCCAACCATGGAGTCCTAGAGATGGGGAGGGGGGGGAGAGAAAAAGAAAGAAAAGGAAAAAGTAAGCAATAAATAAATAGATAAATTCATAAAACACATAAACAAGAGTAATTAAATACATTGATGATGATAAATGATCAATTATCTAGTTAATTTGGGCATAAATAAATAGATTTTTGGAGAACAGATGCTCAATATAGAATTTAACAACAGATGTACTTGCAGGCTGGAAAGCCAAGTTTAGAATTGTATCTAAGGGATATTATCAGCGAGTTATTCCATAACTATGATAACTTTTACAAAGAATTCCAAATTCAACCATACAAGCATCCACCTAGTGTTCCTATACCTAGCCCATTATATGCAACGGTCTAATTATCCTTTTATTTACTAAAAGTTTAATATGGAAAACTTACTATCTAATAAACTAATAACTAATACACAACATTAAGTCTCTTCAGGCGCAGTCTGTCACACAGGTGTATACCTTATGAAAGAATGGTTTTCTGGCTTTTTAGCCAATATAACCATACATAAAATTCACCCTGCAGTTTATGGTTTAACCCCTAATGTGTTTTTTCTTTATAGTAATACAGAAAACTATCAAAATCCAGATCATTTTGCACTTACCCCCTGTATACCAGAAGTCCCTGGCATGGCTTGTGCAACCAGCTCTTCCATAGTTTGTGGTTGTGACGTCAACACTTGAGGATCAAAACTTTGCTGACTTTCTGATACCCCGTCACCTGGAAAAGTTAAAAATTCATATTCACAATAAACAACATCCAGGCATAATATGGATTCATATATAACATATTTGCCAAGAGGAGGAAATTACTTTGTACCTTGCATGCCTGACGCCAGTTGGTCATACGCCATACTGTTATCAGAGTTCATGACATCCTCTTCATTTTCCTCTTCTGCCTTAGGTTCCTCTAACACTTCCGTTTTGACTACTGGTTCATCCTGTACAAGCACCTACAAAGGAAAAAAAATATTGAATTAAATGCCATTAATATCTGTTATATTCATTATTCCAAAATGACTCTTCTATACTCTAAATGAAGTAAAAACCTACCTCTACATGACTAGGGGATGAAGTTTGTGGCACTTCTTTTTGTCTCGACTCCTTCTGTCTATCGGCATCGGGCGTGGGACCTCTGCTGTCTCTATTATTTTCTTGATTATGACCAGACTGGGTGAAAGCAGCATTGGCAAACCCTTCGACGGAAGATGGAGACGCCAGCCTCCCCGTATTTGGACGTGCTATATCTCTCGACTCTCTAGAAGGGGGTTCTCTAAGGCTCCTGGGGTCCTCCAGGTTCTGACCAGAAATGGACGTCCTTCGACTCTCCTCATCGTGCCGCACTCTTTTGTTGTGTGGCGGACTACTGTCTCTAGAGCTCGCGCTCCTTTTACTGTCTTTAGTTGCACTTTTAGATGTGGGGGCTTCATCTGGCACAGCCAGTCCTTTAATTCTTAAACACTCTGCAGCTTTTATTAGTCCAGCTAAATCTGCTTGTAAAACATTCACTTCCCCTAGGTACATGTAATTAAGAAGAGCTTCAAGCTCTTCATGTTTTATATCTTTTAGCACTATCACAGGATGTTTGCACTGAGTTCTATTAAAGATTTCCTCAAAATATTCACTACATGTAGATAGAACCAGTTTATGCACAGGGTAGAATTTGCCATCGCAGGCCAGCGTCACATCACAATAGGACTCCTGCACAGGATGGAGAGAAATTACTTTGTAACTAGGCATTTTATTTTCTTCTAGATATGTAAAATTATTGATCAAAATATATCAAATATTTACCTTCTTGATTCTTTCATATCGAGTGCTAGACAGAGTATCAGCACTTTAACTCCATGCAAGGCTGGATTACTCCCAACTCTTAAAAAGGAAAAAATACATACCTTTCTCCTTATTGTTGACAAGACATGGAAAAATGTAGATCCATGGTTGTTCCACTTCAGAGATAACAACCCACTATCCATCTTCTTTACTAAGCCTGAACAAATAAAAAAAAAAGAAAAATTAATTCATTGTATCCTATACCACGATGATTCCGTCCCATTATAATACAGACACCTGCAGTTTTCTTTTTGACAACTAACTTTTTACTCATAATTCTACTGACTGCATCCTATCAAAATCAAATTGAATCTTGCAGTGATCTATAGAAGAAAGCCCACTATCTTTACTCCAACATAATAGCGGTAGAGTGTCAAGAAACTGCAGCTGCTACCTGTGCACTCCAGTAAAGGCTAATAAACTTCAGTTACTTATATTCTGGAATGAAAGAGCTTTGATTGGTTCCTTATCCAAAAATAAATCACCAGGGATGTCTACAGGTTTTCTTTTGCTAAAATATTTATAATGAAAGTTTGTTTGCCTTTGCCAGAGTGCTGACACTTGCAGAAGCCAAGAAAATTGCTGACACCAAATGACAGAGATGGCTTCTACACATCTGCTGTAAACACAAACAGCAACAATAAAATAAACATAAAAAATAATCTAATTTTTTTATGCATCTTAATGACAGAACTGGCAAACTATTGTTTTAACTCCAGCATATTCCTAACAAAATACAAATATCAGGGAATGACCTAAAGGACACAAAGAGTCATTTTTCTCTTAAACTGAATGACATACAAATAATTGGTTTCATCATGAGGCACACACAAACATGAATATTCAAAACAGTTAAGTTGGCCCTCTTCACCCCATGTTCTTTCATTCTAATTCCTATAGTTTCCCTTCACAAATTTCAGTCTGCATGTCATAATGAAGACTTTAAAAAAATAAATAAAAAAATAATGAACAAACAGACTCCACTCTGACAACTTGTCTTAGGTCTAACACCACCTAATCACTCAAGTAATTAAAGAATTATAATGTGTCACTGCAAAAAAAAAAACTTACTATCTAATATTACACTACAAGGAACCTGTCCCTGCATAGGAATAAAGCACAAAAAACTAAGGATAAGAGTAATTGAACATATTTCATTCTTTAAACAACACAAGAGCGTTTATAAGCCCTGTCACTGGGTGTGGTTGGCACATCAATGACATCAGAATAGTAATAAGTTAAAACATAATGGTATATAAGGCGAAAACTCCTTCTTAATTGATATTACCATCACACACGCACTGAAATTAATTATCTTGACCATGAAAGAACTCATAAATCAACTTATTTCGGGATCTTTAGTAACATTTATCGATGTCCATTTACAAATATTAATCAGGTAACGTCCATTTAGCTTGAGCGAGTTTGGTGGTGATTTATATACCAAAACAACCCTCCAGTTTCGCCGCAAGAGCCTCGGTACTTGACTAAAACACTCAATTATCCAACAGCCTGGGTCGTCCGAGGGGAAACGACCCCCGAACTGGCCCATTTCCGGCCCAAAAGACCAGCATCATCTCGGGACAAGCATCCTACAATGACGTTCGAATTCGGCCATTGGAAACGCAGCTCACAAAAGCCCCTCGCGATGTTTTATTTTTTCCCCTTTCTCCCTCATCTCCTCACGGCTAAGAAGGGCTTTCTCCTTCTCGTCGGGATCCGGCATGACTCTCGGATGCCCTCCGGTCCCCCTTTGGAGTAGTCTAGGATCCTTACGTGACACATTTTATAAAAGGAAAGACGGACGACGACGCCGCTTGAAAGACCGACGCGCAACACTCCTCCGGGAATTTCC